CAACTTTTTTTTTTCTTTCAGTACTTCTGTATGGATAGTTTCTTCATGTTTCTGACCTTCTCTTCATTTTCATTTAATTTCATTAAATCCATTCTTAGTAGATTTATTGATTTCCTCCTTATGTCTACTGAATGTTCTGCTCATTTAGTAAAAGTTATTCTGTTGGACTTAATGTCTCCTAATCATGTGTGAGCTCTAGAAATCATTCAGATTATAAATTCCCTCAGTAATTTTTCTTTCCCTGATATGTGTTATTTTACCACCCTCATGGACTATTACTCTTTGAATGCACAGAGTATCTTCCCAAATATTCAAGTGGATCCCATACCAGTTCTCTATCTCCTCAGCTCAGTGAGTCTACCTTGCTCTGCTTGGATTCCCCAACTCTACTAGACTCTAGGGAATTCCTCTAGGCATGTAGCTAATTTGATTGAATATCTCACTCAATTAGTTTCATTTATTAGTTTGTTTCTAAAAACCACTGCTTCATATATTTTGTCCATTCTTTTAATTATTTATGGTAAAGTGGAAAGTCTGATATCAGTTGTTCCATCAAGGCTAGAAATGGAAATCCTTAGCTTATTGTTTTTGAAATAGATTCTGCTACTTGCCTTACAAGATTGATTGTGAAATGCACATGATATAACACCTCTGGCTTAGGCTGAGGTGTTATTCTCTATGAGAATTCTGAAATCATTTCTAACTGTTGGTTTCAAGATATCTTAGGTAAGAATTTTAGTTAGTGTTCCCCAAAGAAATAGAATCAAGGGGCAGGGGTGTAAGTTCAGTGATACAGTGCTCACCCAGCATGAATGGGGACCTGGATATGATTCCCAGAGAAGCAAAATCTGAAGAGGCAGTGAAGCTGCTATCTGCTCAGTCCAAGAAGCCAGAAACCTTGAAAGGAGAGAGAAGCCAATGTTGTAGATCCAGTCTGAGGCCGAAGTTCTGAAAAATCCCTGGAGAGTCACTGGTATAAGTCCACATTCAGAGGCTAAAAAACTGGAATCTATGTCCATGTATGACAGCAACAGAAAAACATACCCCCTCAAGAAAGGTCAAGCAAGCTAGCATTCCCTTCTGCTTTTTTCCTTCCATCCAAGGGTTTATTGGATGGCACTGCCCACATTCAGGGATGTGCTTCCCAACTCAGTTTGCTGAGTCAAAAGCCTATTTTCTCTGGAAATATACTTAAAGAGACCCAGAAGTGTACTTTGCCAATTTTCTAAGCATTCCCAAACCAAGTCAAGTTGGCAACAAAATTATTCATTAGTAGAAATAAAAAAAAAAAAAAAGAACTGGGGGAACATATTGGTTAAGACATTTTCTTTCTTCTCTCCTTTGTTCTTTCTCTTTCGTTTTCCTTTTATATTACATCTCCCAATAGCCACACTGGGATCTCAGGTTCTGTTTCTCTCTACATCATCAATTTCATCCAGAAGCTCCTGTTATTCTTTTAAGTACCTATAAATGGCTCCCATTCAAAACCCCCTGAGAATTCATATTTCTAAAGGAGTTCACAGGAGCTTGAAAATTGGCCAAATAGGTATATAACTGGGTCAATCAGGTTAGAAACCTAATAAAAGACAACTAGAACAACAAAGTCTTGTTTGTGATATCAAGAAGAGTAAATGTCACCTGAATTGTTATCTGATACGGGAGCAACAAGCCACATGGGACCATTAGTCATTTCAATGTGGCAAGAGTCACACGTGAAAAACAAACATTTTGGATATATTAGTTACATAAATTATTAAAATTAATTTCACTTATTCCTTATTACATTTTTAATAAGGCTTGCATTATATTGCCTTTGATCAGTACTGAGCAAGAAAGCAAAGGCCAGGAGGAGGGGGACTGGGTTTTAGGAAGTCATGACCAGTCTACATTCTAGAACCACTGGTCTCACGGTGTGTAAAGGACAGACATGGAGGCTCCAGAATGAGCTCCGTTTCTTACCAACTTTGTCCCTGGACATGTCACTTAAACTCTCTGAGATTCTCTGTATTCATAAGAAAAATAGCTAAATCTTTCACAGATTGGGAGACAGATAGATGCAAAAAAATAAAAAAGCATGACAACTGAATAATTTAATGCTATAAATGTTAGGTATGCTTGCACAAGTTAAATAATGCATCTCAGGGGAGGGCTGACTGTAATTTTACTTGCCGGGTCTGGGTGAGCTAGACCCTCAAATTTGGCAACATGGTTGTTCTGGAAGGTGTGAAGCAATACCAACCTCTGTCATCACAGTATTTTTCTGCTCATGGAAGTTTGGGATCTTCATGAAAACATGTCCTCCTTCCCATGGAGAGCCCTGGCAGTGGTTGAGCTAGATAAAGGGAGGACAGGACAAGCCCTCTGAAGGCTAAGTAAATGAGACCCAGTTTATTTAACGTGTGGTTATCTGGCCACACAGGTGTTCCGCGGCCTTTCTTTCCCTCCTCTGGAGGTCAGTGTCACAATGTTGCCAGAATCAGAATATTACAAGTGAATATTTACACTATAGATAGAGCTATTTTATCAGGCACTTCCAAGTCTGGCATTATTATTTTTAAGTGTCTAGAGTCTCTGTGTCAAAGTTGAATGTGTGGTATGTAATGCTCTGGTGAATCTGGGATACAGGCAATTAATTTTCAGTGGGATCCCTAGGTTTTCTGTGGTATGGGGCACTTGAGGAAGGAGCTTCTAAGGTTCCATTATCCTTTATAAGGCTGACCTTCAAGCCCACAATCCCCCAAACTGAAGAGCAAGTGCCAGAGACTGGTAGAAAGTAGGGTTTGGGTAGACACTCCAGTCCCTGGTGTTACTTGAGAATCTCCTACATATGCAGAACATCAAATTCAGCTGCTTCAACTTCATGTTAATTGTGTCTGGGCAACTAGACAACATGGGATGGATTTTTACTAAATCCTAGGGTATTATATGGCCTCTATTTCCTATGAAATAATGGTCCCCATCTGAAAAAGTGTACATGAAATTAAAATTCCACCACAATGGGGTGAAGAATTGGATAGTTTGCTCTTGCTATTGCTTGTTTTTTTGATTCTGTATTGCTTTTTTTTAATTTGAAAATTGTCAAGCAATGGAATTTAAAAAAAAAACAAGATGTTAAAGGAAAAAAATCCTATAAAAGAATTAGCATTCTGCCTAAGTACCATCCAAATATCATGGTAAAATATGTAGTCCAGGAATGGTTGTTTGGTACCAGAACTGCTGTGGAAGTCAAAGAAACTATATAATAAACAATTTATAATTGTTATGATAATACTAACTGCTATGCCCCTACATCTCAGTGGTTTAAAATAATAGGAATTTATTTCTTGCCCATATAAAATACGAAAGTGATGCTTATAACTGTTGAGTGGATTCCCTTCAAGAAGGGGGCCCAGGCCCCTTCCATCTTGGGGTTCTGCCAGCTTCAGCACATAGTCTTCAGGGTTGTGGTGCTTCTCTGCCTCAAGACATCAAAGCATAAGCCACGGAGGACCATGTGTGGGATTTTAGGAGTAGAACTGGAACTTGGGGGCATCCATGCACTCCCATGACATCACCAGAAGTGGCCACGTGGCCCCATCTCCCTGCAAGGTGGGTGGGGGAGTAGAATCTAGTTCTGCTCCCAGTAGGAAGCCGTCAGCAGTCTCTGCCTCAGACTACCTACACAGACAGCGGCACACAGAGGTCCGAATATAACTGCATAGCTGATAAAATTTCATGATTCACAGAGTTTAGCAGGACTGGATTGAGGGGAAGTCACTCATGTGCAGCTGACATGACAGACTGCTGCTTGTGTCCCATTCCCTTCCCAGCTTTTGTGTTAAAGGCTTGGTTCCCAATACAGCAATACTCAGAGATGGAGTTTGGGGAAGTAATTGGATCATGAAGTGATTTAATCCATTTTTGGATTCAGAGCTGAATGAACTCCTGGGAAGTGGTAGAAATTGTAGGAGGTGGGACCTAGGTGAAGGCAGTGGGTCCATGGGAGTGTCCCTTGGAGACTATGGCACCATCCTCCCTCTCCCCTGTCCCTTTCCCCACTACCATGGGGAGGGCAGCTGGGCTCCACCACACCCTGCCATCATGATATACTGCCTCACCATAGGCCCAAAGAAAAGAAGCTGGCCCATAGAAGGAAACCTATGAAATCATAAGCCAAATAATTCCTCCTTTAAGTGGTTTTCCTGAGGTATTTTGTGAAAGCAATGAGAAGCTCACTAACACAATTCCCTTTTTGTTTGTTCATTCATTCAACAAGGGAGTGTTGGTGGCCTGCTATGAAACAAGCCCTGGGCTGGATGCTCAGTCACGAATACAGGACCCAGGGAATTCCAGCCCCCTCAGTTTATGACCCACCAGTGATAGTGACGGGTCTCAAGTGGGGAAGAACTAAGGGAGGGCTTCTCAGCTGGACTGGGAACCAATCAAAGGAGGGCTGGAGAGGCCTCCCTGAGCAGGGATCAAGGCTCGCATAGAAAGAATTTCTCAGGAATTTGAGAGGCTCCTGTCCATAGAGTCCTTTCTTATGCCATCTGTTTTTATTTTAATATTTCCTTTGCCAAATATTCTTGAACTTTTTTCATATACAAAAATGTCTACTGCTTTTTCTTTGAAATATTTACCTATGAATTTTGTCAGGGAAGTGAATTATTATTTGGCCATTTTTGACCATACATCTTAATATATAATCTGTGACTCCCTGGGCTGAATGGTTCTGGCACCCTAATATTATGGTGTCTCATTCCAGTCTTTTAAAATGCCATTTAAAGCAATCTACCACAAAGTAAAAAGTTCCAGTTTCAACCAGAACCTTCACGAGAGTGCCATGACAGTGATTCTGAGCACCGCCTCGCCACATCGGAAGAGAACTTTCCTACCTGCCACTTCCTCATCTTCCCATGAGCACTGTGGAAACCACCTCCCCTGTCAATACAGGCTTATCTGAGATTAAAATTAGAAATATGACCTTGGAGCCTTCTCTCTTTTCATGCCACTTTTCCATGGCATGGCTCGAAAAGATAAGGCTGCCTATAAAAGGGCCTTTCGGTGTTGTCCAGCTGTCCCTGGAACCTGACGGATCTGCCATGGTGAGTCGGGCACGAGCTTCCCAGGCTGACTTATTACACTTCACCCGTTTTCTCCAAAGACTTCAGTGATGTGGGGTAAGCCGACTTTCCAAGCCTCGCTAGGCCACACTCAACCTTGTTTTTGTCTTCATGCAGATGCTGCTGGTCTGGTCGCTGGCACTGCTGCTGGGAGCAGTAGCAGGTAAGAAAAGGCGCTGAGGTGGACTTGGAGAGTCTCACTGCTTAGTCTGCTCCAGAAGGCCTTGGGGGCTGGATTCAAGCCACAAGGGGGGTCAGGAGGAAAACAGAGAGGTGCAGGATTGAAAGCTCAAGATCTAAGCAGGATTGCCGGATAAAATCTATAATGCCCGTTAATGCTGAATTTGAGATAAGCAGGAAATAATTCAAAGAGCAAATAGGTGACATATTTAGACAAAAAATTCCCTTTTTAACTGATGCTCAAATTTGACTTATAATTTTAATTTCTGAGTCTAGCAGCCCTAGCATGGAGTCAAGGGAAGGGTTTGAACCTTGGTTGAGTCACCTACAACTCCATGACCCTGAGCAAAATCCCAGGCCCCTCCTTGCTTCAGGGTCTTGTCTGTGAAGTAGGAAAATGACATCACCCTTCTCCTGGACTGACTGAGACACTTCAGTAAGAGGAGTGGCTCATGGTGCCCAGCAGCTGGCACATAAAAGATGTGGAGGGATGCAGCCCTGAGACAGCTACTACTCTTTCTAGTGCTATTAATGTGGCCTTCTCTCCAGAGCCCTCCTGGAGATGTCCCTCTATGCAGGAGCATGCCAGCCCGCAGTGTGTCAAATCCCACATGTTTGATTGTTTCTGCCTACCTTCTGCATCACAGGAATCCACAATGGGGCTCAAATTTAGGTCAGAAACCTACCTGCAAAGTCAAGGTGGAGATGTGGAGTTCTGGCCCTTGCATGAAACTTGACCTCTCCACCCAAAGTGCAAAGCCACAGGGCTGCCCCTGGGAGCCAGGAGCCTCAACACATGCCCACCCCCACCACAGTTAGGACCCAGGCCGCCCCATTCCTGGGCACCAGGGGCACAAGAATGACACCTGGGTGGAGAAGCTAAAGTGAGTCCTTGCCTGGGACTGAGCAGAGATACAGGGCAGTGAGGGGGTCCCCTGAGGTAGCAGGGAGGAGCAGCAGCCTCTCCGCCCCAGAGGCACAGACCTTTGAAGCTGCTTTGTGAGAGTATGAGTGGGAGGGTGCTTGGGAGAGTAGAGGAAGGCGATCTGCCATGAAATGCAATTTGACACATATTTTGCCTGTGACGCCATTAAAGAGCATTCTGGTTAAACTAATATCCTTGAAACTCTTCTGGGTGATTTCAGGAAAAGAAGTCTGCTATGACAGACTCGGCTGCTTCAGTGATGACTCCCCATGGTCAGGAATCGTGGAAAGACCCCTGAAAGTACTGCCCTGGAGTCCAGCAGATGTCAACACCCGCTTCCTCCTGTACACTAACGAGAACCAAGACAACTATCAAGTAAAATTCCTCATGTTTTCAGCCCTTAGTTCCATCTGCTTTGTGTAATTAGTATACTGCATATCCCATGACCTGGGGGAACTAATCAGACAGTGGAGTTTGTATCTTTGTAGACTTTTAGGGTGATGAGTTTAATTCATGTAATTTGTTTATAAAAGATCAATTAACTTCATGTTAAGTTAATAATTAATTAAATTGTCCTAACTCTATAACACCATTTAAATATATAAATGTAGGAAAAATACATATGCAATACATATAAAAAACATAAAATATCCAATATTTTATACACACGTGCACACACACACACACACACACAGATAGTTCCTACCTACAATGGCTCAACTTAATAATTTTTTGAACTTACTATGGTGTAAAAGCAATATGCATTCAGTTGAAACCATCCTTTGAATTTTGAATCTTGATCCTTTCTTGTCTAGTGATACACCAACAATACTCACAAGACAGCAGCAGCTAACCTGGATTCCAAGTCAGATCACCAGTGTAAACAACTGATTCTCTACAAGGGCTGTTGCTAAGTTCTGATGTTTGGCAGCTTAGGGGTTCTCAATGCATTATCAACTTACAACACTTTCAACTTACGATAGATATTGACACATAATCCAAACATAATGGGGGGACATCTATACATAGATGTATCTCACAGTGATGAATGGATGGATAGATCACAGATACACAGAGATCCACACACATAAGAAGGCTTAAATTGTGTGGAAATTAGATCTGAATGACAAATAGCATAGCAGACATCTTAGCCCAAGTTCAACAACGGCAACAATACCACGATGCCTGGAAGGTGGCAACTTGGGGAGGATTGTGGACAGCGTGGCTGCCATGGAGTGATCTATACCCATAAGAACCCCAAATCCCAGTAGTCTTCCCTAACCTATTGCCTCCCTCCACATCTGAATGGTTTCTTCCCCAAACAGCAAATCACTGCGGATTCATCAAGCATCCAGAGCTCCAATTTCAAAACAAATAGGAAAACCCGCTTCATTATTCACGGATTCATAGACACGGGAGAAGGAAGCTGGCTGGCCAACATGTGCAAGGTGAGGCCTGGTGAACTCTAAGGGAAGCTTGTCTCAGGAGCAAGTAAGACACCGGCCCCAACCATAGAGGAAAAATGCTTGTTCCTACCACCCTGGAGGTTCCTGTGACCCCTACTGGGCCTGAGTTCCCAAGGGAGGTGCAGGAGGAGACGTGGGTGGAGGGGCCTGGGACAGTCTTTCTGTCATGGAAAAGCCTACTCCTTTATCTTCAATATATTTATGTATTTAAGGGGTCCTGCCTGTCTTCCACTCATGCAGTAAATGTTTATTGAGCACCCACTCTGTGCCAGGAACTAGTCTAGGCATTGAGCTAGACTAGGCAATGTCCTCAAGGGGCTCTCTAGCAAGGGACAATGTAATCTTATGTTATTTAGGATGTTCTAATGAGACAACCCATTGTACCACATCTGATAATTTTTTTGTCTAAATCAAATGTCTACACATCTGTTTCAGTAGAAATCCCAAGAATCCAGGTCCCATGATGGTCATGCCTCAAGTTTGGAACCAATCTTAAACTTTAGGAGGGATTCTTCATACATTACAGACTAGGTGTTTTGTTCATATCTTTGGGGTTAAAAGTGACTTAATACTTTTCAGGTCAAGGTTGGATTTTTAACCCTGATCCTCAAATCTGTTAATTAGTTACCAATAATGATCCTGTATTACTAACTTATTTATTATATCTCTTCCTCCAGAAAATGTTCCAGGTGGAAAGTGTGAACTGCATCTGTGTGGACTGGAAGGGCGGCTCCCGGACCGGATACACCCAGGCCTCCCAGAACATCCGGATCGTGGGCGCAGAAGTGGCCTACTTTGTTGATTTCCTTCGGGTAACTACCTTTGGTTACAAAAAAAAGTCCATGCACATTGCTCTCTGAATTCTCTTTCTAAAATAAAAGCTGGCAGTATGATAATTTTGATAAAGACATTTCTCTACTAAGATATTGCTGTGTGCTTAGTTAAACAAAAGACAGAAAAAAAATCTAGATTTGGGTTTCATTAATAACTTAATTCAGTATAGTTTTTGTTTTTAACTAAGTAAACTAGGTAGATGGTATCTACTGAATTCTTCCAGTACTTATTATAATTTTACCACTCATTACCAAGTTGACAATGTTAACCTCAAGGTTAAACTATTTTTTTTTTTGCTTTTGTTCATCTTTTTGGAGAGAAGCACAATGGTAACAAGCTAATCTGCTTGGGTGACCAAAAATTTAGAAAATGTTAAACTTGAATGTGCTTAAATAGTTGTTTTCATTTTAGTTTCCTAATCTGAACACTTGATTCATCTTCTCTAGTATAACAATTTCACATATCCTTCAAGAATTTTCTCTTCATCATAATAAAACAAAATATAGCTCTATGTGCACTAGTTTAAAATTAAATTGTTTTCCACTTTATATCTGTGAAAAAATAAACCCATAAGGGTCAATTGCTTTGAAGGAATCATATGTACCTTCTTAAAAATCAAGGTTTTGTAGTCACCTATTGTGCTCACCAGGAATTCTGCCATACTTGGAAACATTTTGAAGAGGTGTTCTTTCCAACAGACTCAATTAGGATACTCGCCTTCCAATGTCCATGTCATTGGCCACAGTCTGGGTTCCCATGCTGCTGGGGAGGCTGGAAGAAGGACCAGTGGGGCCATTGGACGAATCACAGGTTGGTCACAACAGCAAAAACTGCAAAATTAGATTTCATGTACCTCTATAAGGTTCAAAAGAAATATAGGAGGAAGATTTGGTGCAGCCTGTTTAGTACCTTGTTTGAATAGGCCTCATGATCAGAAATTAGAATGTTCTTTGACCCAAGGCTTCTTATTGCTGTCAATCATTTGTGTTCAGTACACTATTTACCATTTAAATATTTTATAGGTGACTAACATGTGAGTTAAGAATATTCAGAAACATTATTTATATCTATTTCCCATTTTTTAGGTATTCACAAAAAGATATCATGAATAAATGCCATAAATAATAGAATAAATGAAATTTAATCCACAGAGCTCAAATGTTTATGATCAATTGTATTTTACTTCGATAGCAGTAATTAACAAGCCCAAACTTCATCAACCACTATCCCAGAGTTGGGGGAACTGGGGCAGAAGATCAGGCTCCCCTGGGCTGAAAGTTCTGGTGCTGCTAACACTTTTCAAATACTATTTCACAAACCCAAGAGTGGCTGCATTTGGCCAGTGGGTTACATATTGGATACCCAGGTCCTAAAACAACTCTGATGTGACTATTTCAAAATTCCCCAAGGAAAGACCACTTTCCTCGTCCTCTCCCAACTTCTGTGTTGACCAGATGATTCTTTCTTTAATACTGTGGTAAGTTGGTTGCATTTGATGGGAGCATTTGGAATTTCTATCTTTAATTTTCTGAAAAGATGTTCTTCCAGAACATTCTTTCCCATCATTTGTAAATGTTTACCACAACTTACTCAGCCAGGCACTGTGCTAAAGCAGACTACGGACTCCATGTCCTGGAAAGTCAAGATCCTTGCCCTGTGGGAGATACAGTCTAGTAGGGACTCAGCCTGGACAGCATTTAGTTCTGTGTCTCTCCAGGTCTGCCTCTTTTATGGTAACTGTGCTAGTGACCAAGATTCTCCCAGGGACTAAGCACCCATAAGTAATGGCAAAGTTTACAGTCTGGGGAAAATTCTCATTCAGGCAAATAACAAACTAGAAACATATAATCCCTTCAGAAAATGATAAGGTAGAAAAGAACTCGAAACTCACCATTACAGCCAATACTTGTGCTCAGGTCTGTAACTGATGAAGCAAGGTGAACCCTGACATAATTAATGACAAATCCTATTTGCTTTAGGATTGGATCCAGCTGAACCTTGCTTTGAGGGTACACCTGAACTTGTCCGATTGGACCCCAGTGATGCTCAGTTTGTGGATGCGATTCACACTGATAGTGCCCCAATAGTCCCCAACTTAGGTAAGTTCCACAACTTGTTCTTCTAGAACGTTTTAAGTCTACACATCAGAGTGTTTTTTAGTGTCTTGAGTCTATACAGTAATGTAAACATTCCCTTATTTTAAAAATTCTCCAGGGTTTGGAATGAGCCAAACTGTGGGTCACCTAGATTTCTTTCCAAATGGAGGAATAGAAATGCCCGGATGTCAGAAGAATATTCTCTCTCAGATTGTTGACATAGATGGAATTTGGGAAGGTGAGACCATTATATCTACAAGGGGATTTTCACTGGAGAAAGTTTTCATTTTGTTTTGCTTTGACATTGAACAAGTATCACATTTTACATGACAAAGGGCTTTGAACTGTGTCTTCAAGTTATAGAATCCCATTTGGACAAGAGGGCATGATGAGACTGTGGGAAAGAAAGTACATTTGCAGTCAAATTTGAAAGGATCTAATTCAGAGAATACTAAGTGGCACTGATAGCCATGTGGACTAATCTTCCTTCTCAAGTTATTTTTCCATTTCACTTAACAATGGCATTAATTATTATAACCTAAAACAGTACTTCTGATTGCTTCACAAATCATAAATATACTACATAAAGATTTTGTACTGTGATCTCCATGGGTTCACACTAATTAATGAAATCTACTCAATAACTATATTCTGATCATGATGATAAATTATAAAAGAAAAATCTGTCACTGACGTGTAATCATGTTTGATTTCACAGGAACTCGTGACTTTGCAGCATGTAATCACCTAAGAAGCTACAAGTATTATACTGATAGTATTGTCAACCCCACTGGCTTTGCTGCATTCTCTTGTTCCTCTTATAGTGTTTTCTCGGCAGTAAGTAGACTCTACCTTCTGTTTGAATTTTATTTATTTCTTAAATTTTATTTATTTTTATTGATGCTAGGGATTAAACCCAAGGCCTTGCACATGCTAAACATGCACTGGATCACTGAGCTATATTCTAAGCCCCACCATCTGAATTTTGTGACTATCACTTTTCATGAGTGATGTAGTTCACCAGCTGATCCTTTTCTAAACTTCTCTCAAAGGGCCAGGAATTCTGATGGTGATTTGGTCAGTGTGCCTCCCAAAGGGAATGACTTCAGGGTCCACTGGTGCTAGGTCTCTTGGTACCTTTGGACTCTAGGTCATATCCCTGTCTGCCTTATTGATGATCAGCATTTAGAGATGCAGTCTCTGACTTGTCTACTTTTTTGGTTTGGGCAGTGTCATTAAAGAGCTTTGGCAATTTCTTCATGACGAGTTCAGTTGCCCATTATGTAATGTAATGGATGCTAGCCCTGAGACTCTGCCATGTCTGTCATCTGGTCCACCAATTCAGGAGTCTGCCATGTGCCTTTTCTTTGGAGTAGCTTTCCCCTCCAGAGTGGGAATATGGACGTTTGTCTTCCATAGTCTGTCTTCCCTCTTCTTCCCTTTTACTAGAATCCCTTGGTACAGAAAGATTTTCTTACAAAAGTCTTCTTCAGACAAAGGCTAACTGGAACATTTTTCTCAAAATTGGGAGAATTCTGAGATTTGAATCCTTTGGTTGTTGATATGCTAAATGGAAGCGAATTAAGGAAAGGCTGACTTTTGAGCATATTGTTCTCCTAATGGTCCCGTTTTGCATATCAGAAACTGATTACCACCTCCTGTTCTTTCTTATGCAATTTTTCCAGAATAAATTTTAATGACTAGGCAGGAAGTAACAGGGGCCATTTAAAGAGACAGAAGAGAAAAGAAACACACACACACACACACATTCTCACATTATGCAATTTTTATACTATTGTGTTATCTAACAGTGAAATTGCTGGTTTATCCTTGTGAATCATGAGATGCCCTGCTAACCTTTGCTGAGACACTATTAAAATCCCTTTTACCATTAGAAAAGAATTTGTTTTAGAATATTTTAATTGTAACATATTGGAAAAGATGGTGCACCATTAAAAGAAAAAGCATTCTCATTCATCATTTGTTTTCACTAGAACAAGTGCTTCCCCTGTCCAAGTGGAGGATGCCCACAGATGGGTCATTATGCTGATAGATATTCTGGAAAAACAAATGGTGTGGGCCAGAAATTTTATCTGAACACTGGGGATAAGAGTAATTTCTCACGTAAGTTTCTATATTTTTTACATTAGATTCTCAGTGCTATGCATTTTATCCTGACACTGATAATGGGTAAAATTGTTTTTCCATTCAAAAGCTATAAACACCTCTCCCCAGTACAGAAAAATGTATAGTGCTGTGCTCCAGGTAATGATGACTGATTTGGGTAGCAGAGCAGAGTGAGGGGCCTCAACTAGTAATGATCCCAGACATAAATTTCTTCACAATTGATTCTGGCTGAATTCAGAAGTCTTCCTATGTTTCACTCTTTTTTATTCAGTCATAAGTTCATTCAGCAGAATCGTGAGATTTTGTATAAGCATAAAAGTAATTCTAGAGAAAGATGGCAGGGGTGGTGGGGTGGAAAGTAGTTGACAGATTCAAGAGATATTTAGGATCATAAACTCTAGGGAGGATGGGAAGTGGAGGGTGTGGCAATGGTGAGGCTTGAGGACAGACTCTAGGACAGACTTAGATTGCAGTGAATAGGGTTAAGAATATTGTAAAAATAAAGACAAATGTTATCCCATCCCCAGTGTGTCCCATGTTAGGCTAAAAGGGCAACACCTATTAGTTTGCTTTTGACTAGTATCAAGGGAACTGTCTTTTGGTTGCCTAAATTGGTTCATTTCCAGGGCAAGGGAAAGTTGAAGTATAGAATTTTTAAAATAAATCCAAACCATTTAGACAAAAGTATGGCAATACTCTAAAATTTGGTGATCAAAGAGAATTTAAAAAGACTTATGAAAATGTCCACTCTACTACTTTTCCACAACCTTTTAATATAAAGTTCTTAGAATATTAAAGAGCACATTGTCAGATTGAAAAACTTTTTAAGCAAATTGTACTCCTTAGTCTCTTGGCTTGAAAATATATTTATTAACTTTGGAAATTCCTAACTAACCAATAACTATTCCCTGAACACTGAGATAAAGGAATGACTATGACTGTTTCATTTGAAGAATTACCACCAACATCATGTATAAGTTTTTTAACGTTCTGCAGTAGTGAAATGGAAATTAACCCATTATCAGTGTCTCTTTTTTATAAGCTAACATTTGGTAATTTAACCTCCTATGCAGGTTGGAGGTACAAGGTGTCTGTCACACTGTCTGGGCAGAAGGTTACAGGACATATGTTGGTTTCTCTGTTTGGAAATGCAGGAAACTCTAAGCAGTATGAAATTTACAAGTGAGTAAAAATATCATTCTAAGCTCGAATGTTGAAATACTGTGCCTGTGTAATGTATGTCAACAACAGAAGAGTTTATTTATTCTTTACTGTATCGGAATAGAGTGCTGTCACCTGTAATAAGAAGAAAGATATTCTTTCACATTTGCACCTTAATACATTTCAGAATTCTAGTTCTGAATTTTTCCCATTTTTTTCCTAAGAAAATCATTAAAGTTTACTATGATGCCTAGCACTAGATTTTATAATCAATAAATAACTATTCCCCACAAAACAGTGGGGAGAAGATTGATACAATGATGCCATCATTTGTTGAATCATGGGAGGGATGGCATTGTGACTAAAAGATGTTATAAGTTATTAAAACAAAGATGTGACTCAAAGTCTCTGAGTTACTGATTACAAAACCTACCACGGATTAAACATACATATGTGAATTTATTTTATATATTAGAATGACCAATGCCTATCGATCATTTTTGCTAGAGTCAATTTATAAACTGGTTTTAGAAATATATATGTACGTATATATTTATACATATGATTATTTTATGTATACGCTATGCATATTTGTCAATTTCTTCATTCCCAGGGGCTCTCTTCAACCAGGCTATACTCATTCCAATGAGTTTGACTCTGACGTGGACGTTGGGGACTTGCAGAAGGTGAAATTTATTTGGTATAACAATGTGATCAACCCATCACTACCCAAAGTGGGAGCATCTAGCATCACAGTGGAAAGAAACGATGGAAGAGTGTAAGTAATAAAAATCCAAAGGGCTGAGAAGAATCAAGTAGTGATTACAATTCTATCCCCACTAAAATTCTCCTTTAAGTTAAACTTCCTACAGTGGTTCACCTGTACCCCAGCCACACCTGCTTTCTAATACCTTCTGTGTCTTTAGGAGACAGTGCAGTACTTTAGGAAAAGCAACTTTGATAGATTTGTAGTCAGAGTTGTGTTATCTGATACAAATTAAGTATTAGAATGGGAAGCTGGCTTCACCATCCTAAGGAACGTTTCATTGGGCAGATGAACCTTTTGCTGTATATGTCATCAATGTCTGTGTCTCCCCCAAACTTCATGGGTTCACCAAATTATTGCTTAACTCATTTAATTTATCAGGGAACTGAAATAGGCTATTCCATATCACTGAACTTAATGAAGATAATGTACCATAGGTCAATCCTTGATTCTAAGTAAGGTGTTTCTGAGCTGAAGGGTGTTTACCAAGCTCAACTACCAGAAAAGGTGAACTGATGATCATCATCATAATAGCAACCTCAGCTGTTTTTGAGTGTTAAGCCAAACCTAAAGGCGGAGCACTGGGGCTTCTTTTGTCAGGCCATTGTCCTCATAAAGACCCCACACCCACCTTCACAAATGAAGCCACCAAGAATTCAGACAAGATACAAAACAACAGTTTTCAAGGCACTGATCTTCAAGCGAAAAGGACAGTGATGGCCTGGCAGACAAAAAACAAACCAGGAGGAGCCTTAAACCTGCTTGACTTGTTGCCTGAGTCTCCAGGATGTGGCATGGGTGGGAGGAATGCAGGTAGAATCCAGTTGAAGAGATCATCTCTAAGTTGAAGAGATGGAGCCAAGAATCAGAGAATCTAAGGAACCAGATATCATGGCACAGCCTACCAGGCAGTAGAGACTTTGAGAGGGAGAATTTAGAGCTCTGGAAACACCCCTTAAATATTCAGCACAGTACCAATCAGTGCATGACTGTGAGCAAACTAGGCATGGTCAGGAAAACAGGCATTTGAAGGATTGAAGAGAACAGTGCTCAGACTGGTAACAGTGCTTGTTTCCACCTGCTTATAATTCAAGAGACATTAGGTAGAAGGTTTAGGACAGTCTTCTCTCCTATAGGAAATTATTCATCTAGGTTTTGCAAGACTTGAAATGATCCAATTATTCCCAGATACCATATATGAATTGGTATAATACTACTTGGAAGTAAAATATTATAAGTTAAAAATATATGGTGTCAATTCTAAAGCATTTGCTAAAATGATAAAGAACTACAGTAAACAAACCAACAAAGGAGACAAAATGAAATAAAAAAATAATCTAAAAGAGGGAATAAAAAAGCAAAAGAGAACCAGGGAGACAAATAGAAAACAAATGGAAGGGCAATGGACTTATACCTAGTCATGTCAATAATTATATTAAACAAAAATGGACTAAATACTACAATTAGATGACAGAGAATTTATGCTGGATTAAAAAAAATCAACTGTACTATGCCTACATGAAATGTACTTTAAATATAAAATCACAAGTAGATTCTACAAGATGCAAGGTCCAAAAAGGGCGCTCCATTGATTGAAAAAATGTAAATTAAAACCATAATGAGGTACCATCATAAACCTACTTAAACGGTTCAAATTAAAAAAAAGATGGCTAATATCAAGCAGTGTTGAGGATAAAAACAATCTTTAATTCATGCACTGCTGATGGTAACATAAAATGATGAAGTCACTTTGGAAAGCAGTTTACCAGTTTCTTAAAGAGCCAAACATACACCTAACTACAATTCAACCATATGGCTCTTGGGTACAATACTTTCTCCCATTCTAGTTTTTCTCTGGGTGGTTTCAGTTACTCATAGTCAATCATAGTCTGAAAATATTAAATGGAAAATGATCCCTACCAGTCCTTTGGGATGTGATTAACAGCTCCACTGTATGCTATTTGCACAACCACATTACAAGATTGGAAAGGTGGTTCAGTCCTTCACAGGAGAGGTCTCTCTCAGTCAATGTCTGGCCTTGGGCACAGGGCATGCCCCCTCTCAGACTGCGTTGGGTTTAGTGGGGAGAGAAGTGGCTGTCCTCATGCTCAGCCCTCCAGCTGGTGCCAGGAAGACATGACCTATTGCTGTTTTCTCTCCACAGGTTCAAATTCTGTAGTGCAGAGACTGTGAGGGAGGATGTTCTGCTCACCCTCACCGCATGTTAGAAGGCAGCTGACATGTGTCACTCCATCTTACTGCTAATAAATCTAGTAGTGAAGCAATACACTCTGTCTTCTGTCATCAATGTCCGTGTGTCCAGTGAAACTTCTGGATATTGTGATTAAAATCCAAATTGGCAGTTAGTCTGAAGAACCTCAAATGACTGTTGAATGTTGCTATATTCTGTGGGGCACTGGAGCTTAGGAATATTGTTTACACGGTACTGTCATCATGTCCATTATTAATATTACTGATGTCATTCTGATCACTGTAGACAGATTTCCAGGCCCAAAGTGAACCCTCACATTAGGCCCATGTGGAAAGTATCACCTTTGCCTCTTTGTCCATCATCTTTAAGTTCTGTGTCTCCTCCTCATCAGTCATGCCAGGACTGATGACATGAAGAGATGAGGATGAGACACATCTGAGGCTTCTTGACTGGTCTCCCTGCTCCCCGTGGGTCTTCCTAGACCCTTTGCCTCTCTTCAGTCTATATGATCTTCCTAAAGCACAAATCAAAGCTTCCCCCAGTGATTCCCAGGGAAGAATCCACATTTTTTAGTGAGTCTTGCAAGGTTGCCCTGGGTCTGACTGTCACACAGGACTCTAGTCTCATCTCAGAACATTCCTTTAGGAACTCCATATTCCAGCCTTGTTCCCAAATAGGGCTTTGATCTCAGATGCTTCTGGACATTTGTAAAAACTCTTTCTCTTTCTAGAATTTTCTTTCCTGTCTTTCCATCTGTTTAACTCCTACCTGTTGTTAAACCTCTGTGTAGATATCATTTTGTCCAGGAAGACTTTCTTCATCTCCATTAGTCACAACCTGTAGATTAAATTAAGTTCTTAATCTCCGCTTTCCCACTGCACCTAGAATCTTCCCCTTCTCAATGCTTGTATATACATATTGTAATTACAGATTCTCTTCTCTGTTTATCCCATTCTGAAACTCTTTAAAGGGGTTACATTGGTAAACATCACATTAATGGAATCCACTAATGTCAGATTTTTTAAATTAGGCTATGTCAGAAAAAATAAAATCCTATAAGAGAAAAGGATACCTGTGCTAGGTCTTACAAGATAGGTAGGGAGTTGCCAATAAAAGACAGAGGCAAAGACACTCCAGAGACAGGGAACAAGATAGGCAAAGACACGGCGGTATGAAAATATGAGAAATTGAAAAGGCCTTTCATTCCATGTTTTACCAAAATACATTCAGGTTGAGCATGAAGAGCCATCAGTCTGAGTCAAATAGGATGCTTTCTCTTTCACAAACCAAAGCACCAACCCACAGTAGCTTCAACAACAAAGAAATGTACTGGCTCATGCAACTGGAAAGTCCCTGTTTTTTATTGATGCAGCAGCCCAATGACCTCTTTCTCTTTCCATGCTCTTCTATGTCTGGTGATGTTTTATATCAAAGCTGGTTACTTCCCACTTAGAGGGAGCTAGTAAGAGAGAGAAAGTGCATCTCCTTTTCCATCTTCCCTGATAAAACTCCTGAAATACCCTCTGATTGGCCTGTTATGAGTAAAGTGGAACATGCTGATTGCAAGTAAATAAGGGCCCACACCTGGGCATAGGAGGGAGTCAGCATGCTCAGTGCCTGGACCAGGTGAAGGAGAAATGGATGCCTACATGAGAAGGAGTTGTCCTCCTGGTCCTCCTTCTGGTGGGAAAGATGGAGCTCCATTGGCTAAAAGAGGGAATGTTTTGGGAGAAATGAGTTGGGAAGGAAAGTCACATGGTTACTTTTAGTCATGTCACAGTTGAGGTGTTCATCATCTTCCAATGGGCCACAGCAAGTGGGCAGATTCGTACATGAACACAGATTCAAGGATGGAGGCCTGGGTGAGGCATGTAAACTCTGGCATCTTCAGTGTACAGATGGCATTTTTTAAATCCCTCTGTTTCTCTGCAAAGAGTTTGTGACAATGCTCAATACATGTGAGTGCTCTAGTACTTAACAAATATTTACAATATGAGTACCTCATTATAATGATGAATTTGAATAACAAAATCAATGAATAACAGTGTTACCTGCAGATTTACTTGAGTAGAAGATGGAAAAAGGAATCTAAAATCATTTAATTTAAAATACATCCATTAAAAATACCCTTGTTAAGAAGTATAATCATTTTCATCGTAATGAAGTGTTTGCATGTGGCTTTACTTATCTTAAATGAAATTTTTACTCAAGTTGTTTACCTATTTCTGAACATAATACATTTTTTTAAAATTCTATTTTTAAAGCCCTAAATCAAGTTTTTAAAACTCCTCTTAATATAAGAACTCTATGTCAATTTGAAAAGAAAGACAAGTCCATTTTTAAATGATATACTTTCAGTATGTAATATCCAGAATGTTTCTTACTGGACCATATTTATTTTCTCTAAGATTAGGTGTAAAAAAACCATTGAATTAGACTCTATGGTTCAGGCTACTTCTGTAAGAGGGAACTTTTGGAAGGAAATTGGCTGCTAACTCCATGTTTTTATTTTTTCCAACACTTACATTGTGCTTAAAGCATTCCAGGCACTATTCTAAGTGCTTCATACACAGTTACTCACTTAATTCTGACTATACCCTCTTATCTAGCTACTTTTATTGTTCCCATTTTCAGATGAAGCAACTGAAACACAAAAAGGTTACATAACTTGCTTTGTAAGGGTAAAAGAAATTGAAGTTAAAGTGTAAAAGACCGGCATTGTAAAGTTTCTAAGCTGCAAGGCCTGAGTTAAAAAGTAAAGGACCAGGTATTGTTAAGTTCCTATGCTACACCCCCAAAACCTGAAATTCCTGTAGCTGTTAGGACAATACCCGGAACTGCCCAGTAAATATTCCCCCTGACCATCTGGTTGTTTAATAACCTAGGACCCTGTGCGGCCTTGCACGTAGGCATCGCAGGGCCTAAACCAATCAGTTTGAATGTACCTCCTCCCTTAGAACTCACCTATCACTCCCACCCAACCTGTTCCCGCCAATGAACGAACTAATCATGTTTAGGAATTGTTGTTTGATTTTCCTGCGGTGTATGATGATTTGTTAAAGGAGACTGTGATGTATGTAAAGTCCCTGCCCTCCCCAAAAAGTGTACTTAAGCACTGTTCAACCCCTGCTCTGGGCTCTGGGCTGCTCTCCCTTCTTGAGTGAGCACGGAGCCCCAGTGCGCTGGATTGGATCCTCAATAAACCCCTTTTGCTGTTGCATGAGCCGCGGTCTCTTGGTGGTCTCTTCCTCCGACGTTCGCCGGACCCTTACATTGTTGGTCTGGCTTATTGAAATGACATTAATTAGCAACAGCTTCAGGTCCCAGGCTACTTAGTGCTGGATCTAGGTTTTTCCCTCCCAACAACACTTTAGCAATCAAATTTTTCCTCTCTTCCTTTTGCTTTTTGTTTTTATTTCTTTAAGACATGGTCTCACTGTGCTGCCTAGGCTGGCCTCAGACTCTGGAGCTCAAGTGATCCTCCTGATACCAATGCTAGAAATAAGGAACAGGTTCTTGAAGATTAAATACTTGAGAAACACTGAGGCAAGCATAGAAAACAAGTTTTATTTAAAAAGAGACAGAGGACAGAGGTAGCAGACTTCTCTGGAAGGAAGGCGGCCCAAGTCTGCGTGCCCATGGAAGTGGATGTGTCTTGCTCTTCTAAAGACCCCAAAACACCCCTCACCTTCTGTTTCCTCTCCATGTGTCTGTGTGTCTAAGGGCAGGAAGGACCAGCACAGTGGGTAATCCTTAGCAACTCCAGGGAAGCGTGATCAGAGGTTAGCTGTTAGCAACCCACTGCCCCTGGTCTGCTCAACCCCCATCATCCATTACCTACACTGACTGCCAGACCTTCTGCCCCTGCCTCAGTTTGTTGAGGAATGTGACATTTCCTGTCCCCTCAGGCCAGGTGGTGCTTCAGGCAGATTGCTTTTTGGCAAAGAAACCATGTGGAGAGTCAGAACAATGGGCTCATTTATAGAATTATTCTCTTAACCTTGTGTTCCCACCATCCTCATCTATTTGTCCCCTTACACTCCCACCTCTCAGGTCGCTGGGACTACAGGTGCACAGCACCACACCCACCTCCCAGGGCTTACTTTTGATCTACCGCACTACTCCACAGCCTTCGGGCAGCCTTTCTATTCCTGACCCAGGATGCTTGAATTCAGCCTTGTTTCATGTAACAAGTCTATGCAAAGTTACTTTCTTTTCTCCCCAAACTCCCATAGCACTTACATAGATACGTATACATGTACAGACATACATAACACACACTCAATACCCAAAGGATAGCTGGGAGAAATATGAAAGTGGACTTATCAAATGCTAGCAAGTAAAAAATTAACATTTTTGCCCATTATTTATATAGCATAAAAAGAAAAATATGAAAACAATTTAAATACCTAAATAGCTTCTATTTGCAATTCTTGAATAATATCTTATTACTTGAAATAAGAGTTCCAATGAGTTGAAGAAGGGGTTTGACTTTGTAAACAGTAACAGGCCAAAAAAAAAAAAGGCAGGAAAAGAGAACAAAAAGTTATTCAAAATTACTTTCCTTATGGAGTTAAAACAGAAGGTATGTCCTTATTCCACTGACTGGTTAACTAGATTCAAGATTTGTAGAGATCATTCTCTTCCATGGTCAAATTAATTCCTAAATAAAAAAAAAACTATTGTGAATGGGATTAATTTCTTGATTTTTTTTCAGATAGTGCACTATTAGTGTATAAAAGTGCTGCTAATTTTGTATATCAACTTGTATCCTGCACCTTTACTGAATTAATTATTAGATTGAACAGTTTGGGGTGTTGTCTTTGGGGTTTTTGAAATATAAGATTGTGTTGTCTGCAAACAGGGAGAGTTGGACTTCTTCTTTTCCAAATTAGATTTCTATTATTTCCTTCTATTGCCTAATTGTCCTGGCTAGGGCTTCCCCTAGGTGAATAGAATTGGGGAAAGTGGACATCATTCTCTTGTCTCAGCCTTTACAGGCAAAGCTTTGAACGTTTCTTCAATCAGCATGATGTTAGCTGTGGGTTTGTCTTTTCTGGTCTTCTCAACAGCAC